ATCCCCCTTAAAACTGTGGTACTGGGAAGTACACTGGCTTTTCTCAGCTCGCTTTCACTTGTTAAATTCTTTAGCTCTGAAACCTGTCCTCTGACCCTCATTTTAGTAGTGTGGTGGAGGGGTGGAGGGGTGGCCGTTAGAGAGTTTATGGCTTTCACAGGGCCCAGGGCAGAAAGGCCAGCTGTTCTGTCCCAGTTTGTTCTCTGAAAAGTCAGTCGAGCCCTGTCTGTCCTGTTGCAGCGATCCCCATTTCCGTCATGGCCTCCCGTCAGCAGACTGCCCCACCACAGCCGTCCAGGTCCCTCAATCACTCACTGCAGTGGTCCTCATCCCTCCCATCACCTCCCATAGGTAGTCTGCACTGTGTCGGTCCCCATCCACACCCCGGTCCCCGCCCTCCACCCTGACAGTCTGCCTCGCTGCAGCTGCTCCCATGCCCCCATCCCCTCCCATAGGTAGTCTGGCCCCAACGCAGGGGTCCAGATCCCCCTCCCAAGCACCACCCAGGACAGTCCCTCTCACCGGCTTCATCACCGCTCCTCACCTTCCCCCCTCCGCCCTTTCATCAACACAGTTGCTTGGCAAAGCCCCCATCTCCCTTTGAGGAACAGAAGTGAGAGTTCTCAGGTTTTTTCATGATGAAGGACAAACTGCTGTAAAACAACATAAGGGGTATAATGGGGGAGCCGGGTGGTGGTTGTGCACACCTTTAATTCCAGCACTTGCGAGGCAGAGGCAGGTGGATCTCTGTGAGTTCAAGGTCAGCCTGGTCTACAGAGTGAGTTTCAGGACAGCCAGGGCTATTACACAGAGAAACCCTGTCTCAAAAATAAAAAATAAAAAAACAAACAGAAAACCAATAAATAGACAAATAAAATAAAATCTTTAAAAAATTTAAAGTCATCAATACAAATATCACTCCCACTATACCATTTGTGCAGTAAACAGGAGCCATTGACTCCCAGGTGACCAAGTGAGTGGCGAAGCTGCTCCTTGAGGTTTGCCTTGGCCACTGACCATTAGGTAGCCAAGCAACTCCCCAGCCCAAAGTGCTCTTGTGTGTGGTGACAACAGACCATGAGAAGGTGACATAAGCAGTGTCGCCCTACACAAAGCAATAATTAGATTTGACTCAGGTGGAATGAATCTATGTGCCAGACACTGGGTAAGGTGCCAGATGCAGGGATGAGTCGGGCTGATTAGAGGTACCTGCATATTACAGCCTTCACCACATGCGTGTTATCAAAGGGCTAACCATGTGCTTGGGAGCAGATGAAACCTTCCTGAATGTGTCAGGGGTTTTTATGAGCTGGGTTGTTGTATGACGTCACCCAGTGGGAAAGTGGAAAGGAGTCTGGAGAGATGGCTTGGTGGTCAAGGTCACTTGCTGTTCTTGCATCGGACCCAGGATCAGTTTCCAGCACCCACACAAGGCAGTTCACAACTGTTGTAACTCCCGGGCCCTCTTTGGGTCTCCTTGGGCACTGGTTTGCACATGATGCGTATATGTGCATGCCGGGGCACACGACACACATAAAAAGATAACCAACAGAGGAGAGGTTTTCTAGGCAGAAGAAACAGTGCAAAGGATGGGAGTACTTGTGCTCAGAACTGGGAGATGCTGAGTGGTCGGAGCCCAGTGTCCTTGATGCGTACTGGGGGGGGGAGGAATGATGGGGTCACAGTGTGAAGATCACTGAATGTGTTCAAACAAGGCGTAGGTTGAGTTTTCTCCACCAAACACAATCTAGCTTCAAGCTTTGCCTGGCAGACTTTAGAAATGGACTCTTGTTCAGGGCAGTGGTAGGGGTCACTCTCTGTTGTTCAAGATGTTTTGGATAGGGGTTGGAGTTACACCATTTGGTAATGATCCTGAGGGCTGTCCCTCCACCCCTAGCAAGCACAAACTCTAAGGCTGTGCCAAAATGCCTTAGCCATCTTCACCTTCTTTACTGGTCCCGAGGCCCCCAGACTCTTGACACCTGACCCTAGAAGGACAATGTCTTTTTGTCTGAGACAAGAGACAGGATCTCATGGTGCCCAGGCTGGCAGGTAAACCAGAAATTCAAGGTCATTCTTGGCTACAGGGGAGTCCAGCAGGAAACAAAACTGGCCCCTCAAACCCATAATTCCCCCAATGCATTTTTTGTTCAAATGTGGCTTACTTACCAATGTGCCCCTTTAAGTGGACAAAGAGGCTCTCCTCATCTTATGTATTTCTGTGTTTGTGGAAGGGCCCCCACAATGTATTTCCATCTTCTAGGTTCTTCATCATGGCTTAACTGGTTGACTGGCTTTTTTCCTTTTGTTTGAGGCCAATTCTCCTCTGTGTCAACCTGTGTGCTAGGATTGTGTGTGCGCTTCTATACTGGTTTATACAGTGCTGGAGACTGAACCCAGGGCTTGTGAATACAAGGCAAGCATCTACCATCGGAGCTGGATCCTCATTTATCTCCTTTAGGTTTGCTTCCATTATTTTAATTATGTTTATGCATGTTTGTCTGTGTCTAGTTTGTGCGTATGAGTGCAGGTATGTGGTAAGGTTCTGGAAACACTCCACCACCATCTATGATCCCTGTCCTCATAGACAAGCTGCCTGACCTTGTTGATATTTGTGAGAGAGATGGTCGAATAATACTACTCCTATCAGAGGATTAATTTTGCAGATTAAATTACAACACATGTAAAAAAAAACCTCATGTGGTTCTAGACACAAAGAAAACTGTAAACAAATAGAAATTGCCATCATCAGCACTTGGGAGGCAGAGGCAGGAGGATCTTTGTGAGTTCAAGGCCAGACTTGTCTATACATAGACCAGTCTATAAAGCAAGTTCCAGGGCAGACTCCAAAGCTACATAGAAAAATGCTGTCTCAAAAACAAACAAACAAACAAAAAAAAGAAATTGCCATCATTCTGATTACAAGGAACATACCATGTGGAGAATCAAGCCCCAATCCTTGGGCTGGGCATGGTGGCCTTTAATCTCATCACTCAAGATCAGGAAGAAGAAACCAGATCTCTGTGAGTTTCAAGCTAGCTTGGTCTATGTAGTGACTTCTAGGACAGTCAGGGCTACATGGTGAACCATTCCTCCCCCGCCAAAAATATTTTTAGTTTTCCAAGCATTAGGCACGCAGGAACATGACAGAAGAGAAATTGTCTCCCTGTGAGACTGAGAGCTGACCACATTTGTCCTCTCTGTAGTAGCTATCCATCTACCTCAGAGTCAGAATTCAGATGTGAAATACTATGTCAACATCACATGTTTATTTGCACTGAAGATGAAGTCAGATTTATTTTGCAGAAGCCTGTACCACCCATGTAACTGGGGCATACTTCTTTTTATTTCTTTGTTTAAACAAATCAAATGCCTTTATTCACTAACCTAACTGACCATAGTTTAAAACACAGGAGGATGGCTGAGGAGACAGCTCAGCAGGTAAAAGCTGAGTTCGTATCCCTGCTACCTCATGTAAACTGAGATAGAATAGCGCATGTATTGTAATATGTGTATAATAATTCCTGGGAGCTCCCAGGTCAGCAGCCAACTGACCCTGCCTCATTCGGAAAGTCAGAGCTGACACTGAGACTGTCTTCTAACTTCCACACATGCACAATGACACACATACCCACACTCAAACTTGAATATGCATACATACACATGCACACACATACCATGGCACATACATACCCACACTCGAACTTGAACATACACACACACAATATATATATATATGTATATATATATTCATATCCAAGATGCTTGGTGCCAGATTTCAGGGTTTTTTTCCAGATGCTGGCATCTTGGATATACTTAATGAGACATACTGGAGATGGGTCCCAAGTCTAAATGCATAATTCACTTGGTTCCTACTCATTCCCCTGACACTCAGCCGGAAGGTGATTTTGTACAGTGCATAAACTGGGTTTTTACTGTGACCCATTACAGGAAGTCAAATGCGATATTTTTCACTTGTGAAATCATATTCAGACCTGAGAGCATCTGGGAGTTGGAGATTAGGGACACCAGTCTAGGATAGTTAACGTGGAGTTGTGAACTTGGGCTATTATTACTGATACTATCTGTGATTTATGGTGTATTTACTGTGAACAGAGTATTGATTTCGTTATTGTGGTTATAAGCTTTAGGGGGTGGTGGCACATGAAATTCCAGCACTTGCACGCGCTGGGGGGTGGGAGTGTGAGGTTAAGAGGCTCATCAGCTTGAGGTCAGCCTGGACTACATAGGGTCTCTCTTTCCCCCTTCCCCCGCCTTTCCCCGATTGTTATGTCGACATTGATAAGGGAGTGAGAACTTGGTCTTGATAAGGGTCTTTGCCAAAGCACCTTTTTCTTTATAGCACTGAATATTGGTACTAAAGCTAATGCCTATCTTGTCCTTTTTCCCAAGGCTGTCCTTTTCAATAGATCTTTTTCCTCGGGGCCCAGGGCCTAAATTCCAGCCCAGCCTGTTTGTCCTTATCTCTCTACCGGGGCAAATCATGAGCTTTCCTAGTTCACCCTTCCGGGCCTCCTGGGACATGACAGGGTGCTGTCTCAGAATCCCCAGATCCTAATCAGGGCTGGGTCCCATGATTTCACCGATTTGGCCACTGCCTCTCGCCTTTAGGGTGGCATTTCTTTAACACTGTTTTCCTCAAAATTCTCAAAAGAATGGGATATATTAGGAGGGGAGGCAGACCCTAGAACTTCAGAAAGCCGGGATGAGAGGGTCCTCTGCTGCGACACGAGGAACCTAGCCTAGAAAACTGGCCTGATAGGTCAGAAGCAGAGCAGAGACTCAAACCTGGGTCACCTCCCACGCCCACCTGGGTCCTCTCCGCCCTACAGGTGGGCGATGCCCCGGCTCTTCTGTTTGCTTCAGGGACCCAGCGATGCCCTGGGAAACCGCGTCCCTCCTCGGCCCCGCCCCCTGCAGCCGGCTCCCGGGGCAGCAGGCGCGGGCGCAGTGAGCGCGGGTCCCCGCGGGCGGACGGTATGGCGCAGCCGGTACAGCTGGCTCCAGGCTCGCTGGCGCTGGTGCTGAGTCCGCGGGAGGCCGGGCAGGCGGCGGGGGAGCCGGGCGGCCGCGCGCTCTTCCGCGCCTTCCGCCGTGCCAACGCGCGCTGCTTCTGGAACGCAAGCCTGGTGCGCGCCGCCTCGCGGCTGGCCTTCGTCGGCTGGCTGCAGCGCCGGGTGCTGCTGGTGCGAGCGCCCCAGCCCTGTGTGCAGGTGCTGCGGGATGCCTGGAGGCGCCGAGCCCTGAGATCGCCCCGAGGGTTCCGCATCACCGCGGTGGGTGAGTGAGGGCTGGGAGCCGCAGCACGGATTGCGGGTGAAGGACCTGGTGGGTGGTCAGAGGCGGCCCCGGGTCACAGCGACAAGTCCGGGTTCCTGATGGCAGGAGAGATGGCATTTTAAGAAAAGTTAGGCTCTGGTTCGAGAAGGAATTCACTTGCTCCATCCTTCCTTCCTAGCCTCCTTCCTATTTTTAACTCCCTTTTTTCTTCTTCTTCTTCTTTTCGTTCCTTCTTTACTCCCTCCTTTATTCCATTTCAGTATCTGGTGTTCGTGTCCTGCTTGTCTTGGGTGATGGTTGTGGTCTTGGGTCAGCCAACTTTCAGAAGTCTGGGGGATCATCATCAACTCTGAGGAAAAGAAATAGTGCTGTGGAAGTACCCCATCTCATTTACCAAATAAAGTTCTACTTCTCCAGTCCTGTTAGAGTGACCCATTTGTTGGGAAACTGACAACAGCTGTTTGTTTGCAAAATAGAGATTCTCATTTGAGAAACTGAACCACTGCACCAGTGAGTAGTCACTGACACTGGCCATTACACTCAGGCAAAACAAAACAAACAAACAAACAAAAAACTAGGTAGGCTACACAGGGTTTCTCTGTATTGCTTTGGAGGCTGCCCTAGAACTCGCTGTATAGACCAGGCTGGCCTCAAACTCACAGAGATCCGCCTGCCTCTGCCTCCCGAGTGCTGGGGTTAAAGGCATGCGCCACCAATGCCCGGCTAGTTTTGTCCTGTGTGTGAGGGTTGTGGGATGTTTGACGGTGTGGTCAGTTGTTTCAAGCCTCGTGTTTTGACTCCTATCAAGGAACCTCTTCATCTTAGTCACGGGTCCTCCTCCTTCCATCGCAGGAGAATCACGGCAAGTAAACATTCATTTTACTCCCGGGGCAAGGGAACAGAGCAACTGAGACACCTGTTGCTGTGTGTGGTCTTGTGCAGGGTTGGTGACCTCCTCTAGGAAGCCCAGGCCAGCCTTGGAAGGCTTCTCACCTTCATGCTGTCTTCCCCCTCTTAGTCAGCCCACCCCCTCATTTCTTTGCTTAAGAAGAAGAAAAACAGAAGGTTGCCAAACCACACAGACAGGTTTCATCTTCTCCGTGCAGGAGCGAGTCGAAAAAACAGGTGTCTGGCTTTGAAACAGGGAGCCAAACAGCCAGGTCAGAGTTCTCACCGGGGAAGGGGACCTGCAGACAGGCTGAATGAAAAGGCCTTTCAATTCTGTGTCCTGGCTTGCTCTGGTTTCAATTAGTGCTTCCATTCTCCCATCCCCTGCCTCCTTCCAAAGGGTGATCACAGTGTGTATTTCAGAGAGGGGATTGGAAGCAGTGTAGGTCTAGACCCCAGGGGTGAAATAAGAGAGGATTTATGTAAAGTCTGAGGTAGCCATGATACCAACAGCGGGGCCCAAGGAGCTGTGGCAAGTCCTGGTCTATACGAAAGGTGGTCTAGCTGGCTGCCATTCCTTTCCAACACAATCCACCTGACTAGTGTCCAGTAACAAAAGGCTCGCTGGATGTGTTCGCAGTTGTTTTTGTGTGTATGTGTTTATGCATGCCTTGGCACACATTTAGAGGTCGACTGACAACTATCAGGAATCAGTTCCCCTTCCACCACGTGGATCTCAGGGATCACACTCAGGTTTTCAGGACTGCCGGCACCACGTGCATCTCAGGGATCACACTCAGGTTTTCAGGACTGCCAGCACCACGTGCATCTCAGGGATCACACTCAGGTTTTCAGGACTGCCGGCACCATGTGCATCTCAGGGATCACACTCAGGTTTTCAGGACTGCCAGCACTTTGTGCCTTTATCTACTGAGCTATCTTCCTAGCTCACAAAAGTGTAAACAGAATCAGAACTTTGCTTTTGTCCCACTTGCCCGGTTCCAAATAAACACACAAAAGCTTGCAGAATGCTTGGCCTATAGCTTAAGCTTATTACTAACTTGCTCCTACAACTTCACTCATTTCTATTGATCTATGTTTTGCCACATGGCTTTGCAGCTTTACCTGTCCTCTAGTATATTGGCTGGTTCGATTCTCTCTCAACTCTGCCTTTTTCTCCCTGTATCCGTTTGTTTGGATTTCCTGCCTAGCCTTATTCTGCCTGACTATAGGCCAAAGAGCTTCTTTATTAACCAATGACAGTAAAACATATAACAGGTTTATTTAAAGGTTTTGAATATTGGGGGAAGGGTAGCTCATGCCTTTAGTCCCAGCACTCGGGAGGCAGAGGCAGGTGGATCTCCAATTTTGAGGCCAGTCTGGTCTACAGAGTGAGTTCCAGGACAGCCAGGGCTACAAAGAGAAACCCTGTCTTGAAAACAAACAAAACAAAAAAGGACTGATTATGTGTACATACATGAGTCTTGTGTTTGCAGGTACCCACAGAGGATAGAAGAGGGCCAGATGCCCTGGATCTGGTGTTACGGCTGGTAGTGAACCATCTTGTGAACCTGTATCCTCTAAAAGAGTAGCTGGTGCTCTTAACCACTGAGACTTTTTTTTTGAGGCAGGGTCTATCTAACACAGCCCAAACTGGCCTCAAATTGTCAAATTGGCTGTGTAGCCAGGGTTGCCTTGGACTATTCCTTCATCTGCCTCCTATGCCTTGTTTATGGGGGTTGAACCCAGGGCTTCATGCAGGCAAGCACTCTGACAACCTAGCTACAACTTCAGCCTGGGGAAGAGCTATCTGATCTAGGGGCAGATGTACATGGGTGGTTAGGGGGTTTTTGTTTTCAGTAGGATTGCTAATTATTCCTGGGACTCTGGCATCTCAAGTTAGATGGAAAAGAATCACCAGTCATCAGCTCTTGGGCCACCTTTAGAGCCTCAGAGAACAGTGATTATGGGAGAAGTTGCTTTCTATCAAAAGAAATGAACTTTTCAGTCTGTTTTCCCACGTCTGGCAGCTTGGGCTTCCAGAAAGCCAAAATGGGCCTCTGGGAACACAAAGGACGGGCTTCTGGGGACAGACAGCCACAGGCCCTAGCTCTCTCTTAAGGTAATTTGTGGGAGAGAGTAAAATATGGAAAAGGCACACAAAGGGTGAATTTGGTCTCTGCTATTGACTTGCATCCTTCTGAAGGCTCATCTGCTCTTGTAGAAAGGCATGTGGGCACAAGGACTGTAGTTGATTGACAGCTCACATAGAAAACACAAGGAGAAGAGGGAAAGCCATCTTCATCAGCCCAGCTGTGCTCTCAGGGGCTCTTCTAGCTTCTGGAGTGTGCAGGAAAAGACACACGCACGGCAGCCCATGCCTGTGAGCTCATCTCCAGGAGCTGGAGGCAGGAGATCAGGAGTTAAGACTACATAGCAAGAGTCCATACCAAGCCTGGGCTGTGTAGGGCCTAGTCTCAACAAACAAGTGCCACCAAGCTTGTTCAGCAGGGCATGGCACTTACTGTGCAAGCCTGGGGACTTGAATTTGATCCCTGAAACCCAGGAGAGAACAGGTTCCACAGAGTGTGCCTCTGACGGCACATGTCCTGTGGCACCGGGACCCAACACAACACAGTGATAATTAAATAGGGAAAACCAAACAAATAAGCAAGGTGCATTGTGAGCCTGCAGTAAGGACGCACTTGAGTCCCAGGGCACTGGGCCTGCAGATTTTATGTTTCTTCTCAGGCTTGTGCTGTTTCTTTCCCTCTTTGCTTAAAGACCTTTTTTTTTTTTTTTTTTTTCCTTTCATCACTAGAGAAAATCGAAGATGGAGACAGCAGAGCATTGTCTTGAAAACAGGAAACAGGGGCACTGAAACTTTGACTTGATGACAGCAGGCAGCTGCTTCTTTAGTGCCCGTCCCTGTCCCCTCCCATGCCTCCAGTGTTCTGTTTGGGGCTTTGTTGTTTTTAGTAGCAACTGACATAATGCCTGAAAGGGGAATTCTAGAAGCTGGTTTGCTTACCCAGCTGAGCCACTGTGTGTGGGGTGTGTGTGTGTGTGTGTGTGTATGTGTGTGTGTGGTGGGGCAAAGGGCAGGGATGCCACCTTTTGGTTGGGCAGCTGGTGTTGCTGCTCTGAGAACCACCTCCTGGGACAGATAGGAAGGTGGCAAACAGTGGGTGCCACTTGTCCAGATGTGCCTACTTGCTCTCACCCTAAGCAGGGCTTACAGTCTTTGCACTCTCCTCATTCCCCGACCCCCCATAGGAACACACCCTCAAACACCTGACTGAACTATCTCAGCCCCCACATCTGTTCACATTGAGTGAAAATGCACTGAATGCCCATGGGTATTTTTTTAAATTTATGTGCATGAATGTGTGTGTGTGTGTGTGTGTGTGTGTGTGTGTGTGTACTATTTGCATGCCTGATGTCTGTGAAGGTCAGAAGATAGCAACAGATCTCTTGGAACTCAGGATGATTGTGAGCTATTTTGTAGATGCTGGGACTCCGACCCTAGTTCTCTCTAAGAGCAACAAGTACTCTAAACTGCTGAGCCATCTCTCTTGTCCTCGGTGGATTTGTTTATTTTTTGAGACAGGTTCTATGTAGTCCTGGCTGTCCTGGAACTTGCTGTGTTGACCAGACTGGCCTACATAAATCCTCCTGCCCTGCCTCCTGAATTCTGGGGCCAAGAGCAGGTCTACCCCAACGGCCATTCTTAAACAGTCTTCATGAGGCTGAAGAAGCAGCTCGGTGAGTGAAGTGCTTTCTGCACAAGCCCAAGGGCCTGAGTTTGGATCCCCACTGTCCACATAAAAAGCCAGGTGCGGACCTGTAATCTCAACACACCTTCAATCCCAGCACTGGGGAGGCAGATGCAGGTGGATCTCTGTGAGTTAGAGTCCAGCCTGATCTACAGCGTGAGTTCCAGGACAGCCAAGGCTACACAGAGAAACCCTGTCCCAAAAAAAACAAAACTAAATAAAATAAAAAGTGAAGATTGAGGAAGTCATCCAATGTTGACCTCTGACCTTGACACCCATATACACATACATGCACACACACCTGCATATCCAACACACACACTTTAAGATAGTTTT